TGATGACTTACTAACCCAAAACAGACATAGATATCTTCTTTTGTGTTCAACTAGACAAAAGAAACTCATATTAAATAATAATAAGCAAATTTGAACTTTTGGGTGAACTATCCCTTTAATATGAGTGGATTGGGATCTGCCAGGCTTTCTGTCCGGGATGTTTTTATGCCACTGGATGAATGTGAACATCTGGATGATGAACAACATGCCAACCCAAAACGGACGTAAATCATCAGATTTCTCTTTGTGTGTTTGACAGGAGCTCAGCAAGTCTTTTTTGAGAAAAGTGCACAAGACGCTGCAGTCTAGTTAGTTTGTGATTGTGAAAGTCTTTAAATGTGTTTTATGGCATGTCAGACATGAGGTGGTTGCCCTCAGTGAAATGCTGTGTTAAGTTTGCATTGCTGTGGGAGAAACCTTTTCCATTTCCTTTTTTTATTTTCTGTCCTTAAGGCATCATACCGACAGTGTTACAACAGCTGTAACCTACTAACTCATTTAGTACGCCAAAACAAATCTCTGAAGCCACACTGGGGCTCTGTTGCAAAACACGCCAAGCTCCCTACATAGGGTGGATATTATTTGCACTCTTTAAAGGCAAAGTTCACCCAAAAATACAACTCCTTCTGTTAAACACAAAACAAGATATTTTGAAGAATGTTGGGGAAAACAGCCATATATATATATAATTTTTTTTATATATATATATATATATATATATATATATTTTTTTTTTTAATCAGTAGCTGTTCTTTTCCAGCATTCTTCAGAATATCAAGTTTCGTGTTTAACGAAAGAAACTCAAAAGAAGTTTTGAATGTTTAGGATTAGTAAATTATGACAGAATACTAATTTTATTTGGGTGACCTGTCTCTTTAAATGAAGGCTTTTCAAAAGGAAGCATCACAATTACTGTATACTACTCCTAAAATGCATTGTGATGGGCTTGACAAGTGGTAGAAATGTTGTTTTGCAAATGAAAGTTTATTCTTTTGAATGTGTCGCTGTTAGCTTAGCAACATTTTAAGGCTAAACTAAAATAGCATATATTTTTTTCATATCATTAAATATCAATACTAATATCAATACAGTTTATCTCGAAGGTAATGCAATGCATTCCACATCTTAGACCTTTATTTGTTATACTTTTTTACTTAATTTTGTTTTATTATTTTTTTTTACCAAAACTGCTCAAATAATGATGAACTAAATATCAGTTAGTTACAATATCTTGTTTGACAAATAAAAAGAGCCACTACCAAACATAAAAAAGAAAAAAATAATAACAGTAATAATATACTAATATATTAATAATAATAATATATATATATATA